CTGGAATATTTTTAAAGAAAATAATACACATCATTGTGCCACAGCTTTTCACATTCCTCGCAATCAGATCAGTTACGCAACGTAGTGGAGAGACTTGCGTGATTAATCAGGAAATTTGAGAAGAAGTGAAGAATCGCACGAGAAACTGTTGGAGAAAACTGATAGACGGTTCCGTTCTTTTCTCACGGGCTTAGGTTTAAGACTTTTGGGCCAATGACTATACGAAGGCCATTACGTAAACAATAAAAATAAGCCCATAAAATATGTCCACGTGGACTTATCTACGTGGCGCTGATGTGGAGGCCTTCAGAGGAAAGATTACATTCTTTTATATAATAGATGTCTGGATATTTGGGGTCCGTCACTTTTGGTTCCATTGATTTGGATTTTAATTTGTTTTTGCATTATGCTCATCAATCTCATTCAGGCTTTATTAATTTTCGGATTAGATTCAATTTGATTCCTTTTGAATTTTGTTTGGATCAGATTGTAATTAAAATTTGAAATCAGATTGTAACCAAAATCTGAAATCATCCTAAAAAAATATTTTTGAAACCTCTGAATTGACAAAAAAATATCAAAATATTTAATTTATTCGTAAATCTAATTTAAAATTAGTTAAACTATCTAAACTAACTAAAGGATATTTAATATAAAAAATAAAACAAAATACAAAAATCTTTTGAATGCAATAAAATATCTAAATTACTTTTACATATAAAAAAACACTAACATATTTTACTAATTTCAGATATCTTCGGATCTAGTTCGGAATTCGGTTTGGTTCGGATTATAACCAAGTTCAAAAGTACTAAGATTATAATAACCTTGCTCGGATAAATTATAATAGCTAGATTGAGTATTATGGAGAAACAAATATTAGATGAATGGTCAAATCTCTCATGTTGGAATCTTGTCATGATATATCATTAAAAAAATTAGGAATAAATATCAAAATTAAATTATTTAATTTGAATGAAATAATATATAAGTATATATAGTGCTTCCAACGTTAAAAATCACTTCGATTTGAAGAAGTGTAGTTCTCGAATTGTCAGGATCAAATAACATATTAGAAACTAACTATTTAAAAATTAATTTGTATACATAAAAGTATATATATTAGAGTAAACACATAAATAAAAACTAATTCCTTTTGTTAATTTAGAATCTTGTTTTTGGTAAAGAAATAAAAAAAAAACATTTTATTTACTTTATATGATATATAATTAAAAACAAATATTGACATATATATAGTAAATTTTAATTTATATTTATTATTGACACTTCATACTCATATAATTTTATAAAAGTTGTATATTTTGTTCTACCAAAAATTTGAATAAATCACAAAAATTAATGTGAGATTGTTCCAATACGAATTTCAAAATTAAAATATTAAGATCTCCATAAATTTTCACTGTAAATTTCGAAATTAAGGTATTTATATATCTTATATAGTATATAGCTTAATTTAAATGATATATATATATATATATCATAAATATTTATTATTAGACTTCATATTCATACGATTTGTAATCATTTATATCTTGCTTGAACAAAAAAAAAGTTAAACCATTAACCAAAAAATTTCAATGCATAACTTTATCATTTTTAGTAATTTGTAGCCATTTCAAAAAAAAAAATATAAATATAACATATAAAAAAAAACTTAGTTTTTTATTATATAATTAATGTGATTGTTTGATTTTTTTATAATATTAAATTAAAAAAGTGAAATAATACAAAATTTGTTATTGAATATGTATTATTCATAATCATTAATTGTCATATATATATGTTAATCATATTGGTAATTCCGTAGTTTTTATTTGAGGAAAGAAACAATATTATTTTGTATACTAATAATTAATTTGATATTTAATTTATAAAAAGTTTAATATATAATTATGTTAACCAATTGATTTTTCTAAAGGTTTTAAAAATTGTCTTGGTGATGACACGTGTCATGTTGTAATGCTTTATGATTAATATATAGGGGAAATGATTTAGAATCCTGAATAATTTACCCAATCTTAAAATTTGTTAGTCTTTCTATACGAATACATAGTCGTTCTTTATTAAAAGTTTGAACTTTCAATCTTACTCGTTGAGTATAAAAATTACAAGCATTTATGACAGCCTTTGTAAGTGTTGTATAAAATAAGACTTAAGAGTAATGACAGTCTATAATAGTAACTTAAAAAGTCTAGATACAGTTTTACAACAGGTGTAGTGTAACAACTAACTAGAAATTGACCCGCACATTTGTATGGACATATTTTTGATTTTATAAATATTTAAATTTGATATTATCATAAATATTTTAGACATATAATTTATATTCAGTGTTATATATCATGTAACTTTTTAATTCTATTGCTTAATTTTTTATTACATTATTAATATATTGTGATTTGTTTATATAATTTACTTTTTTATTAATTGTTATTATATTTTTGAGTTTAGTACAATAAATCTATAATATGAAATAATCAAATAATAAATTTCCTATAAATTTTCCTTTTGAAAATATATAGTTATAGAATAAAAAATTTAACATATATTAATAACTTTATTTTTGTATAAGAATATTACATGGTTAACAAACTTTAACCCGTTTTAATGTAGATAATAATTTATATAAATGAAAGTATTTAAAAAATAAATAGGTTACTTTATCACTTTAATATAAATTTTCATATTTAATTTATATAATAAATCTATTTTAATATAATATAGACTATAAGAAAACTTATAAAGTGGAATATATATATATATATTTATAATCAGAAATAATCAAATAACACTCTTATTTAAATTATATTTTTTTGAAAATGTATAGTTGAGGATCAAAAGTTTAACATATGTTAATAACTTTATATTTATAAGAATATTACATAATTAACAAATTTAACCTGTTTTAATGGTAGATAGTAATTTATTTAAATGATTATTTTTAAAAATAAATTTGCTAATTTACTAATTTAATATTATTTGTCATATTTAATTTATATAATACTTCTATTTAAAATAATATAGACTATAACAAAATTTATAAAAATATAATATGTTTTTATTTTTGTTTTATAGAATACTTATTTAATATTAATTTAAAATAATATTATATTATTAATTACAAAATTAATTAATGCTTTATTTAACAAATATATTTTAAATTTTTAGTAGGATTTTGTTAGATTATTTTTAACAAATTTGCTATAACTGAAAATAAAATTCAAATTTATGGGTACAACTGATTTATTATTAATATTCTTATTGAATATTATGTCATATTATATAATTAATGAAATAAACCTATTATGAATTTTGTACAGTAGATAAAAATAATGAAAATATTTTAATAGAGTAGATTTTATTTCCTTTCCTTTTGACCTTTGATTGTTATCTTTATATTATGAGATTTAGCAATTTAATTGAAATTTAAACTAGCTAGTAGTTTATTTCTTATTTATTATAATTTATTTTGGTATCATTTATTTTTAAATTTTACTTACTGCTTTGTATCTGCAATCAAATCATATACTGTATTTATAATTTGAAAAAGAAAAAAAAAACAGTAAACTAGTTATTGTAGTTAACTTTTATTTCAAAGATCCTTTGATTTCATTTACACATGTGCTAAGGACCGAATAAAAAAAATTAAGATATTACAATACGTTAAACCCAAAATTAGTAATTAAGATAATTGTGATATGTGTCAGGGTTTCGACATATGTAATTTAGTTTACTAATTAAATTTTACATAATTAACTAAAGATAAACTATCCAAATCCAAAAAAAATATTTAGAAGTAAAAGGTCGTAGTGAAAAGTAAATAAATATTCCTTTCGTTTCATTTTATATTTGTTCTTGATTTTTGTAAACAGATTAACAAATTATTAAATTTATTATTTTACCTCTATTACATTGGTTTCTTTAGTTATCTTAATTAGTAAACTAAAAGAATAAGAGTAAATTTAGAAAAGTAGTTAATAAACGCATTGAAAACATAAAACAACATTCAAAATGAAACAAAATTTAAATTTTAAAATGCAACTAATATAAAACGGAGGGATACTTATTTCATATAGGCTTAATTAAAAGGATAAATAAATACTTACTTCCAAGTATTTACTTATTTCCTGCTAATTATAAAATCATAAATCTTGTATATTGACGGAACCTAATTATACAATATAAACAAAACCGGATATTGTAATAAATCTAATTCCAAATATGGATTTAGAAGTTTCGAAGACCTTATTTTGCAAGCTGAATTGGATCGGGTCTTGAATTGCATATTTTTTTCTCACCTTATGTTGACGTACATGCTTACCCTCATGGTCAAATCAAGATGATCGACGGGTCAGACAGACTATTGGGGGATCTCGATCAAAACGTAGGTACATGTTTATTAATTTAACAAATTAAAAAAAAAAAATACTCATCTTGACTTCAGCGAACTGAACAACTCTTCAAAGTCCTCTAACACGTTAACGATATATTTGTACACGTTATTGGGTAAAGAGTAACATTTTTTATGTGTAGGGATACGTCCTTTGGGTCATATTTTTTCCTTTTCAAACAGTTCTATAAATTTATACACCTGTTTTATTTCCCCTTTTTATCAACTTACATTATGCTTTGTTTGAACTTAGATGGTAATACAATAATAACAACACATATACCAGTAAACTACATGTTTGATCTACTTGTTACTTTTTATACCTTGGGTAAAGTCCATCTTTTCTTCTGTAAGAACGATGCTCGATATTGGTAGTATATTATATACTTATTAGTATTTTTAATAAATTTCAATCTCGCTCGTTAGATAAGTACTACAATCATTTATGATGAGTCTATATACAGATTTGGTTTGGAAGATAAACAAAAGCAGTATATTACCGCTTTAAATGACTTGAGTGGTTGCTATAAGCCAAGCGTACGCTCTCTCTCTCTCCCTCCTTTCAAAAAAAAGAGCTTCAACCAACAAAATGAAGAACTTTGGTACTAATCCTCCAACACCAACACCTCCACCACCATTCAGATTTAGGCTTATAGAGCATCAGGCCAAAGAAGCTTACGAGGAAAATAAGCTGACAAGTTTCCGAGAAAAACTCCAAAACCAAGAATCCCAACCGGTTAATCAAGATCAAAGCCTCACCTTCTTACCCAACATTACCATACATGACCAAGAACCATACTTGCATAACCACGAGCACACTCGTTCCGAACCTGGTACCACACGGCATGATTGGGTTATCTCAATAAAAGATAAGCTCGAGCAAGCAAATAAACAAGACGGAAGAACTAGCTCGAGCTCAGGCAAGCTCTGTATTTACAAAGTTCCACATTACTTGCACCGAGATGACAAGAAATTGTATCTCCCACAGACTGTCTCACTTGGTCCATACCACTATGGCCAAGAGAAAACCCGGTCCATGGAATGCCACAAATGGCGTGCTCTTAATAAGGTCTTGAAACGTACGATGCTAAGCATTGAAGTGTTTATTGACGCCATGATTGAGCTCGAGGAAGAGGCTCGTGCTTGCTATGAAGGTACCATTGCTTTAAACAGTTACGAGTTCACAGAAATGCTTGTTCGTGATGGCTGCTTTGTTCTGGAGCTTGTTAGTGTGTTAAGTCCCACATCGATAATCTCAAAGAGATTCAAGTAATATATAATACATATGAGCCAATTCACCTATAGCCTTAAGGTTTTGGGTTGAAAGCTCATGGTTTATCATGGTATCAGAGCCGGCCCACACCCTGACCCATTAATCCGGCCTGGAAAGTGGCCCGATCAACCCATTAGCTGATGGCCCAGAGAAGGCTCAGTTCTATCGAGATTGCTAGAAGAAAAAAAAGCATTGTCTCGGTAGGGGTGGTTATACGCACCATTATCTCGAGGGAGGGTGTTGGGATTAAAGATCCCACATCGGAAATATGAATGGGACATGAGTAATATATAAGGGACTTGGGTCAATCCACTAATTACCAATTGGTTTTAGGTTGGAAGCCCATCTACTCTAACATGGTATCAGAGCGATAAGATCCTTTGACCTAATTTACTATAACTACTACTATATCGATGTTGGGCCCTCTGTGGATGTTATTCCCACATTGTCCACGCTTCAGACCTAGAGATGTCTGAGCGTGAGGGAGGGTATTGATGAGAAACATCCCACATCGGAAATATAAGAATTAATCTACTACTATATAAAGGGTTAGGGCCAATCCACTAATCACCAATTGGTTTTAAGTTGGAAGCCCATAATAACCCGATTCTAACAGAGCTCTTCACTGGATATCAGGAAGGATTCTCTAAACTAGGGTAACCGTGATTCAATTTCTGTCTTTTGGTTATTTTGTTAAACCCGTCTGATTCAGATCCGTTTATCTAATAAGTAATAACTAACTAACTAGATTATTATCAGCGTTTCGAAGCCACATGATTATTTTTGTCATAAGAATAAAGTTTAATAAAAATAAATACGTTGTAGTTTATGTTTATATTTATAGATTTGTTGAATTTCAACTGATATCAATTTATTGACTTAGCACTTTACTGTAGAGTGTGTTCGTTTGGAAACATGTTTATTTAGTAGACTGTTGTGTTATAATTACTTAAACTGGAATTTTAGTATTTTTGTTCATTATCAAGAGCATTTTCTATAATAACATGATAACAATTATTTTAAAATAGCAATCTCAACAGATAACTAGTAACAAATGTTAAATTTTAGTTCGATACAACGTTTCTGTTTTAGTAAAATATTTTTTTGATAACAATTATATGATTTTGATTATTTTTGATAACAATTATATGATTTTGATTATTTTGATAACAATTATATGATTTTGATTATTTTGATAACAATTATATGATTTTGATAACAATTATATGATTTTGATCATGATAACAATTATATGATTTTGATTATTTTTTCTTTCTCTTTTGGATGATGTGCAGATACGAACGTAATGATGCCGTTTTCGCGATTCGAGGATCATTGTATTATATTCAACGTGACATGATACTGCTGGAAAATCAACTTCCTTTGTTCGTACTCAACCGGTTGTTAGAGCTACAACTCCGTACACATAACCAAACTGGTTACCTGATGCACTTAGTGGCTCGGTTTTTTGACCGGGTAATGCCAACGGACGTGGCGTTGGGAACAGGCAGATTCGTATGCCCATCAGCGGACGGTTTGGCTGATGTTCTCAGGGGAAGTAAGCCAAAACCTAAGACGATGTCCCCACGAACGAGAAGGCATTGGCGTAGACAAACTCTTGAATCAAATGATACCTTCGGCAACGGAGTTAAGGGCTGCCGGTTTTCAGTTTCGCATCAGGATGACTGACCGGTTTTGGGATATTAAGTTCAACGATGGTTATCTAGAAATACCAAGTGTAGTGATCCATGAAGGTAATTTTTTTGTTCCCCCTCGCTCCTAACATGTCTTTAGTCTATCTCCAGTTATACTCTAGTCTTCATTCTAAATTCTATTTTAAAATAAATTAGATTATGATCCGCACAGTTGCATGTGATAGTTTTCATTTATATTTATTATTTAAATTTAAAAATTAGTAATATTAAAATTTGGTGTAAATGTTGTTGGTTTATTTACATCAATCTTGAACATTAGTTGATAAATAAGAATTGAAAGGAATAATTCATTCTTTTATGTTCTTAAAGAATTTTACCATTTATAAAAAATAATTTTCCTTTTTATTTTTTTCTCATTTCTTTTATTTTAAAGGAATATAGAAAAAGATAGTGAACAGTTGAACACTTTGTTTAACGTATGAATTTGTACTCGCATTAATTTAGTTATGTTGTATCCACGGGAAATCTGAATCATTTGTTAAAATTGTTAAGATTATTAGAAAGTTGATAAAACTTTGGTTTACATATTCCAAGACAGTTTAGGCAGGTTGTCTCAAACGATTATGGAGGATTTTGTAATGAATATTTAGTTATACAGGTCAGTTTAATTGTTAAGATTCTTAGAAATATTTGTATACATTTTTCATTATTTTAGACAGATTATAAGATATATAAAAATATGCATATATCCTAACTATTTTATAAAAGATAATATCATATTGACTAAAATTTGAGCAGATTCTTTTGTAAGTAATTTTTCTATCTCCAATTTTTTTGTATTTCTATAGGTATTAGTTACCAAATATAACCAAAAACTCAAAATCTCTTTATTTTTAAAAATATTATTAGACTAAAATCTCAATATATAGATTTTTTAAATTACAATAGAAAACTAGATTTTGACTCGCGCTTTTAAAAATGTGGGCATATTTTTACATGTTAGATAAAATTTATTTGAATTAATTATTTAAACACAAAAAACTAAAACTTGTATATCAATATTTAAAAAAAAAGTATTCTAATGTTTTGATTTTTGCGTATTGTTTTCATATAATAGTAAAACAAATCTATTCATATAACAATATTATTTTTTTGTTATTAATTACCTACGATAAGTTTACATTTTTACTTATTTTATATCTAAAAATTATTTATTAAAAAAAATTGAATTGACATATCAATCTTAAGGATAAAATGACATAGTAAAATAATATTTTTTAATTTTTGATCGCTAAATAATATTATGCACGAAAATATGATATTAAATCTAAATAGAAAGTATAATTTTCATAAAAAGAAACTTATTATTAATCACGAAATAGGAAAAAATATCAGTTACCATAAATACATGAAATATTTAGTTGCTTAGTTAATTAAAATTCTAAAAATAAAGAGTGGTATTATCTTATAAGTATGATAAAAATCTAAAGGCAGAATCTAAAAATTTTAAAATAGGATTCTACTTTAATAGTATAGATGTATATATAGTTATTTAAAATTAAAAATTTTTGCCAAACAATACACTATAAAATAACTAGGAAACATAATATTATACGAAAACATAATCCTACATGTTAGAAAAACATAACACTATTTGAAAAATAAAATAAAAATTAATATAAATATATGTATATATTTAATTAACAAATTTATATCAATTTTACCAAATAAAACACTATACAAAAATAAACGTTAAAAAGAAAAACTATCAATACTTCTTATGCACTTATTATTAGAAGGTACAATGTTTAAAAGTAAAATATTTCATACAAAAATTAAAGTTTTTATATACTAAAAATATATGCACATAGCTTAAATATATTGTGGTTGGTAAATTTCTGAAATCAATAAATTCGGATGACCGAACTCTTATGAACCAAATTATAATAAATATATTTATAATGCTTGTTGCATTGTCTTATTGTATCATTTCAAACTTAAATGATATTTTAATTAGTATATAAAAATAGAAATTTACATTAATAAAATAGATATATTCTAATCTCATTCGATTTCCGGTTCTAAAATAAAAAATGCTATATGGATGATTGTTTGGATTTTAACTAACTTCTTTAAATTATTTATTTTTAAGTGAGCAAGTGCATTTTAATTTTAACTTGCACCAAATTTGGCATGTCATATACAATGGTTTCGTGTCGCTTTACGGGAGTTACACAATGCAACGAGTGCATTTATTCTCTTTTTTTATTAGAATCTATTACTCTAAACTTACAGTCCCACTCACTCTCCATTTTCATATTTTAGGTACCAAATCTCTCTTGTTGAATCTTATAGCTTTCGAGCAGTGTCATGTGGAATCGAGCAACAATATAACATCCTACTGTGTCTTCATGAACAATCTGATAGATTCTGCCGAAGATGCTAGTTACTTTCACGAATGTGGTATCCTAGAACACTCGCTAAGGAGTCATTCGGAAGTTGTGGATATGTTCAACCAACTATGTCAGGATGTAGTCATGGACTCCAAGGATATTTATTTGTCTCCGTTGCTGACTACGGTGTATCACCGTTACCACAAAGACTACATCAATAAGTGGCAAAGTACAATCGAGATGGACAAGCACTTGGCGACCTTGAAAGAAAGGTACTTCGACAACCCTTGGGCATATTTGCCTTTCTTTGCTGCAGTTATTCTGCTAGTTCTTACCGTATGCCAAACTTATTTCGCTGCTTATGCTTATTTTCATTAATATTCTATTGGATTTTTTTCCTCGTTCAATTCTTAATGCTTGAGTTTTATGACATGGTGTATTTACTCATAAGAAGAAGAAAAAATCTACATTGTAACATTTGGATTTCGAAATAACTACTCTACTGTAAAATATTTGGAACATGATAATTTTTATTTTATCTTTACGGAATCATATCTTTAAACTTCATGTAAGATTGTCCTATTTTAGTTTCACAAAAAAAATTGTCCTACTTGAATTTTTGTTAATTTTTTATTCAGATAGATCCATCTGTAATTATCGGATCTGAAATCATGTCGTTAATCTATAATACTAAAATAGAAATTATAACTCATTTCATGTGTAATTTTTTAATTTGGACCACTTTTAGATTTTTTAAAAAAAAATTTACCTAATTTTATTATATAATATATTTTCATATCTTTAATTTCATTTGAAATACAAAAAATATTTCTATGAAAATTCTAACAATATATTTGTGAGATCTTTTAGATTTTTTTTTAAAAAAATATACTTTTTTCAAAAATTAGTTAATTGAAATTTTAATTATCAGAAATTATAATTAAACAAATATTCATTTTTTATTTATAACAAAATTATGTAAAATAATTTTAAATATTCTAAAAATTTGTTTCTCTATTATGTATGTCCAACTTAATTTAATCACCACATATATTTTAAATATAGAAAGAAAACAATATTACCGTTACATATTATTTTTTTCAAATTGTTACAAAAATTAAAATTAAAATTTTTATAGTGATAATATTATAAGCCACACAAACATTATTATACAGTTAGATAATATATAACATCAAATTATATTAATAACTTTTATTGTATAACTTCAAACATTTTAGTATTCAAAGAAATCAGCACAGTTGTGCCGATCAAATCTAGTAAATAATTAAAAATGCATCCATATTCATACTGCTTGCAGCACGGGTTAGACACTTAGATATATCCCATCCCAAATGACTCGAGCCAAGAGCACATACATTCCTAATATAACAGGTTGGGATTAAAACATCCGCAGCAGATTATGTCAATTTCTCTTTTACCCCACATAACTACTCCATACAATAACCTAAGATCCAAAGATATTTAATTAGAGAATTCCTCAAGGGTTATCATGCTGCAAGGCACATTCTTTCGGTCTTCAATCATGGAAAAGTAACAAACAAACACAGAAGAAAGGAAAGCTTTCTGTGGTTAGAACATAGACATCCCAAATATGATTTCTCTTCGGTTCAAGTTCTCTCTTTCCATGCGGTTAGTATTACTCACAATCGGTATGTTCCCAAATGTTATTAATTAGTTTAGATATTGACTCACAAATCGTTACACAATAGACTGTGGAAAGAAATTCAGAGTTAAAACGCTGAAAGATCGAAGACCAAACGAATGCTAGAATTAGGATATCTAGAGAGCGATGAAGCGAAAACATGGTGGCAAGGAAAAAAAAACTTCATCGTCAACAGTATCAAGCGATGTTTGCTATTGAAATCAAAACCCTTTACAGAAATCAAACAGCTGAACACATAACTGCATCTACCAAATTTTTATCCAAATGATCGCTTAAAACCAGATAAGAAAAAAGTTCCAAATTTTTGCAACTATTATGGTTTATATAAACACAAATACCCGACTGCAAATCTTAAATCACAGAGATACAATCTAATCATGTATAGATGTGTCTGATGGCAATATAGTCTCCGGATTTTGCCATCTTGTGCAATGTTTAGAAACAGGCTTAACCAGTATAATAGGATAATATAATATCTTGTTTTTCAAAAATGTAAGTGTAGTTAAATTTTAAAAAAAAACTAGATTTTGACCCGCGCTTAAGAAGCGCGGGTTTTTTTTTTTGTTTTGATGGTGTTTCTAAATTTGATTGAGTTGATGGTAAAAAGGGTTCGAGATACCTTGCATTTATAAAATGAGAGGGTTGTTGTTCTATTATTTTATTTCAGTCTTGTAAAATTAATAAAATGAATATGGTAAAAAGATCTTAAAATCAAAAGNACTAGATTTTGACCCGCGCTTAAGAAGCGCGGGTTTTTTTTTTTGTTTTGATGGTGTTTCTAAATTTGATTGAGTTGATGGTAAAAAGGGTTCGAGATACCTTGCATTTATAAAATGAGAGGGTTGTTGTTCTATTATTTTATTTCAGTCTTGTAAAATTAATAAAATGAATATGGTAAAAAGATCTTAAAATCAAAAGATTGTTATTAACCCATTGAGAAGCGTAGTTTCTATTTTTTGATTGTGCAAAAATGGGTACTTAATTTTTAACATTTTAAAAAAAATAAACGAAGTTAAATTAAACCAAATTTCATAAATAATCGATCATACCATATATCTCTAGAATCTAAAAATAGAAATCAAACCGAGAAACCAAATAGGTATTTAAATTTTTTATATATAAATTATATACCTACAAATATTAATTATATATAATATCTAAACACTAAATAACCTAAAATACTATTTTTAACCAAATTAGACAAATCAATGAATTACCGGAATATTTTTATCAAAAATATTCAACCTATCTGATATTTAAATAGTAGGTTAGTTTACATTTAAAATTAAATCAAAATATATCATGTAAAATAAATAAACATATCTTATTTAAATTAATTTTTTGACCAATTTCGTTTGAATCTCCAACTTATAATGTCTAGAACCATTTAATTTTTAAATCTCATAAAATTAATCATTTAGTTCTTTTATAAGAATGTAATATCTAAATTTAATAATTGATTGCATATATTTAACTAAATTAAAGTGTCATAGTTATAATATTATGAATATTTATTGTTACAGAAATTTTATAATAGATTATGGAAAGTAATAAATGAGTTTATTTAAATTGTAAAGTATTTATATAGTTAGAGAAATATAAGGAAAGACTAAAAATGTTAGTCTAATGAAAGGGTGCAAACAACTTTTTTAAGTAGATTTATTTACACTCCTTCTCTTTTAATAGTATAGATNTATAATATTATGAATATTTATTGTTACAGAAATTTTATAATAGATTATGGAAAGTAATAAATGAGTTTATTTAAATTGTAAAGTATTTATATAGTTAGAGAAATATAAGGAAAGACTAAAAATGTTAGTCTAATGAAAGGGTGCAAACAACTTTTTTAAGTAGATTTATTTACACTCCTTCTCTTTTAATAGTATAGATAACATATTGAGTAAATAACGCATACAACAACAAATTACTTCGATATAAGCTCCTATGGGTGACATGTAGTATTAAGATTGATTTATACGCAGTATAACTCAATGTAATTTGCAGTTAAACTGTAACTTTATGTGATAATTTTGTAGTAAAAATAATAATTATCAATACTATTAAAATTAATGATTGGTAACTTTCTTGATGTATAAGTTTCAATATATTTTTTATAAAATAATTTAAATATAAACTTATAAATAATGAAGTATTTTAAAAACAAATAAAACATTATATCATTTTAAGATAAACTAGATTTTGACTTGCGATTTAAAAGCGCGGGATAACCTTTCTATTAAAACTTCATACAATAGTTTTTTTTATGTAAAGTGTAGAATAACATTTGAATTTGATAGTTGAGTTTTGATGTCTATAATAGAGATTTTAGTTATTTTGATGTATATTATTGCACTTTACATAATTAAGTTATAGAGTGTGATTATGCTTTTAAAACAATTAAATTTTCTAATTTTGAAAATTTAAAATAGTTAAATTTTCTAACTTGAATTTTGTTTTAAGTGTTCAAAATTTTAAAATATTTAAACTTTCTAATTTCGAATTTCGTTTAAGTGTTTTAAATTTTAAAGTAGTTAAATTTTAAAAGTTAAACACATAATTATGTTTCAGTGTTTTAAATTTTAAAATAGTTAAACTTTCTAATTTAACTAATAAGATTCCATGGCATGAAGAAATCAGTCACTTCCATCTTGAATAGAAAAAAAAACTTTGCACTGACTGTATTTTGAGTTTAATGCAATTCAAAACAGATTAACATCTTGGTTGAAAACATTTTTCAGATAAATAATGATGAAAAAGTCTAGATAATCATAAATTTACAAAATTGTAAGAAGGTAATTTCCTATAGTATCAAAGCGGTCTTAGTTCAGTGGTAGACTTTTAATCTCGTGACTGTGGTGGGTTTGATCTCCATAGACGGCGACATTTTTTAAACAGATATAATATCTTCGCCAGCCACAAAATTACAAATCGTTAACTTTGGCGCTGAAGAAAAACAAATTCCAACTTCCATGACAATGATGGAATATTCTTCTTAGAAAAACTAATCACAACATGTCCTTTGGTACACGGTATCTCACACCGTGAGCGATGTTTTTCAAATTTTCCTCCCTTCCCATCTCAAGAACATATACAATTTTCAAAAACACCATTGTAGATCAAAACACACTATGAGTACTGGCATTTATCGTTCTCTTCAGTCATCACAACGCTCTCCTTTATATCTTGAATCATCTTTATCACTTCTCTCATCATTGGCCTTTTATCAGGCGACGTCACACGGCAAAGACAAGCTGTTTGACTCATCATTTCAAGCCCATTCTCCTCCTTGGACTTCTTCTCTTCTTGTCTCATTGCTCTTACCCAATCCAACATATCGCCCTCTCCCATAAACGGTTGCCTTGAAGCCGGTTTACCCGTCAACAGCTCCAAGAGAAAGACTCCAAAGGAGTAAACATCGCATTTGGCCGTAGGGTAGTTTGTTGATTTCCTGATCTCAGGAGCTTTGTAGGAAGCGATGTCAGGGTCACTAGGAGGGACAGATGAGTCTATTAAGACACTAAGGCAGTAATCCGTGAGACAAGCTTCGAAGTCGTGACCTAGGAGGATGTTTGTTGACTTTAGGTTTCCATGGAATTTTGAAGATGATTGGTGAATGTAATGTAGTGCTTGAGCTACATCTTCTGCTATCTTTAAACATGATGTCCAATGTAATGGCTTTGTCTTTGATGTTTTTGAACCTACATATTTACATGGGAAAAAAGAAACTATAAAGACTTTTATTATATGTTGGTTATTCACTACAACAAACTTCCAATGATAGACGAGTGATGTGAGACAGGACATGACACTCTGCGCATAACTCCTAGATAAACACACAAATTCCCTGACAAACTGACTGTAATCTCACGTGAAAAAACAGCACAGAGATTCTGTCTTTTACCTACAGTTAAAATTCAATTTTGAAAATACTATAAAAAGACAATTTTTTTTATTTTAGTAATAACAAATTCTAATAAAGTATTTAATAAAATATCACTAAAATTCACTAAACTCCGCATCTATGTAGTCAAGTCTAGACTTACTTCAGTTGAGGACACACGTAAAGGTGTGTCTATCAACTGTGACCAATTAACATAACATATATAGTTTAAAATGGTAACTAAACTCGGTGGTGGTAACTCAGAAGTAAAGAGCTAAAACCCTAACAAACAAACAAAAAACTAAGATAAAACGTGTTACCGTGAATAAGGTTGAAGAGACTTCCGTTAGGTTGGTACTCATAGATAACAAGTCTCTCTCCATTCGACTGAAAATAAGCTTTTGTCTGCACAAGATTCGGGTGCCTAAGCTTACCAACTCTCTCCATGTGATTCTCAAACTCCAAATCCGAAGTAACAGCTGTTTTGGACGGTGCAAATCTCTTAACCGTCACGATCATCTGATTAACCATCACCGCCTTATACGTCGTCCCTACAGATCCTCTCCCCAAAAGCTCCGCCGAAGCTCTCATCAGCTGGTCCAACGTGTACATGCCTCCTTCTCTGGATTCGTCAACGTCGCCGCAGAATATTAAATCTCCGCTTCTTGGGACTCTCTTTTGCGGCGATGGCGCTTGGATTTGAATCTTGACTTCCTCCTCACGCTTCAATGGTTTGATAACTGCTCGTGTGGTGAGAGATTCGGTTTGTGGTTGTGTAGTATCTCCTTTTAGATTCGGTTGCGTAGTATCGTCCACGTCATCATCTCTCCGGTTCTTGATAACCAAAGAGTACACGACAAGGCAGAGACCGAGGACTACTAGTGACGCGAGACCAATGGTGAAACCTAGCACTAACCATCCACTTTTACTCTTTTTATTATTCACTACTGAACCAGGAATAGTCGGTAACGTTGCTTCACCATTCTGAGCGGTTTGAGGCGGTTGCGATGATGATGTGGCGTTCGGTTTCGACGAATCGAAAAATGGAGGAGAACGTGAGCCGCAGGATCTGTTAATGATCTCACCGCAGAGACCAGCGTTAGGCCAGAAGGAGGTTACATTGAAACGTAACAGAGTAGCCGTCACCGGGATCTTCCCGGTGAGGTTATTCCCTGAGACGTTAAACGACATCATGTAAGACTGATTCAGCGGCGGGAGTCCGCCGCTGAATCGGTTAAACTCAAGATTCAAAGAACTGAGCCGCGTCAGCGCATTGATATCCGCCGGAATCTCCCCGGAGAAGTTGTTATACGAGAGGTTAAGCACGATCAAACGATGGAGGGAGAGGAGCGAGGGAGGGAGAGCACCGGAGAAACCGTTTCTGCTTAGGGTTAGGGTTCTGAGGTTAACGAGTGGAGATAGATCAGGGAGCGAGCCAGAGAGGGAGTTATCTTCAAGGCTAAGAACACGGAGCTGGTCAAGACGGCTGAGAGTCTCCGGGGAGAAACGTCCCCGGAGGCCGACGCCGTTTAGAACAAGGCGAACGACGCGATCTTGAGAGCACTCGACGCCACGCCATTGGCAGTAGTCGTAAGGCTCGGTGAGGGAGTATAGGAGCTTGCCGTCGAGATCGGCTGTGGATTTGAAGGAGAGGAGAGCGACGGCGTCGGATGGTAAGAAGGAGTTGAAGTAGTTCGTTGTCGGGAGAGGGTATGCGGCGGAGAAACGGAGGAGGAGGAGGAAGAGGAGAGAGTAGAGGAGGGAGAAGAGTGTCATGTTGTGTGTGTTTGTGTTACAGAGCAGAGCATCTGTCAGTTATTATTCTGAAATGATTTTTGAAATATGTAAACTCTTGTGGCACGCGTGTGTGTAATATATACATCTTTGATTCTGTTCTTTTTACTTAATTGTAGAAAAAAAAAAGAAAAAAAAATTAGATGTTCGTTAGTTTTCTTCTATAGTATATTATATTAGTACACGATATACGAAATATGTTGAGAGAATAACTTGTTTTGCAAACTACACCTAACAGAATGGATCTTCATTGTACATATTGTATTGGTACAAAGAAAAGGACATGGTACGTTCACCATTTGATTGAATCCTTCTTACTCAACTCATACTATACTTTTTTATATCTCCTAATCATCGTTACAAAATAATTAGGAATTTTAAATTGTAGGGGTCGCGTTTGGCTTGACGACACGCGTCAGTGTGAGTCCCGTGGGGTAAATTTTATAATATATCTGAATGGGCCAAACAAGGTAACGGGCTTGATGAGTTTTTATTTTAAGTCATTAGGCCAATTTTTCTTTCTTGCCTGCCAAACTTTATTAATTTGGAAGATCTGTTGTTACATAACAACACAATTGGAGTGTTATAGTTAATGCTTTCCTAGCTAACTAGGATAAGATCCACACTTTGCGCGGGATGAAGCTATTATTTTTATTATGTTTTGAAAAATGAAACAATAGTTTGGTTTCATTCAGATTAGAGGTGTTAAATCCGGATATCGGGTTTCGGTTCGGCTCAATTTTTTGGTATTTCGATTATTAAAATATAACTACTATTCTAAATCTATATATACTTCAGTTTGATTTGGTTTATATACCATCGGTTTTAGTTTATTCAATTTTATACCAAAAAAACATGATTATTTAGTTTGAGATCATATTATATATTATACAAATATATAATATCATCATATTTAGAGTCATATTGTCACAGAGTCATTTATTAAAAAAAATATTATATATTTAAATAAAAGAATAAAAAACAAAAAGGCTTCTATAATCTAATAAAATGATCAAATCTAGAATTAATATCAAAACACTTAATTTTGAAAATAAAAAATAAAAAACAAAACAGAAGCATGAAAGAAAAGTTTTTATATTCTTCCATATTTAGTGTTCATCAAACCAATATGTCTTCGATTGAACACAACTCTGTTTGTTTAAAGATAAAAAAAAAGTTGTAAAGAATTTCAACTAATTGTTGTCCATCAAATTTATAATTTTTACTTCAATTTAGTTACTGTTAAAAAAGCAAAAGATCAAAATAAGAAGTCTAAGTTGTAATAAATTGTTAGCTATTTATAAATTATAATTATCGTTCTACTCAAGTAACAAATAGATATTCATGTGTCGTTATAAATATATACATATTTATTTGTTTCAGTTTAATTGGTTATAAATCAAACCATATTCAGTTCCTATGGTTTTTATAAAATCACATCCATTCGGTTTGTATGGTATATACCAAAAATAAGCATATTATCGATTGTTAATATCTTTTAAAAATATAAAATTAAAAAAGAACTAAGATATTTAAATCATTGATAACAAAAAATTTCAATGTGAAAGAATTAATAATTTTATAATTTATAAATGTTCTTGAAAATTTATTGAGGATTTTGAAATTAAAATATTTATGTAATCTTATATGGTATATAGTTTAATCTGTATATATATTTGTTTTATTATTGAATAATACTTTTTACTTATATGGTTTTAAAATCATGTATATCTTTTTATAATAAAAATGTTAAACTATTGATCATTAACTTTTAACATAATAATTTTAATAGTTTAGTTATTTATTCTCGTTTTTTGAAATTCAAAATATAACCTATACGAAAAAATCTAAAATTTAATTTTATAGTTAATTTGATTGTTTAATTTATTTTATTAATATAAATTTTTTTAAAAATGATGGAGGATATATAAACTGTTATCAAATATTTATTATTAAAATCATTAAGTGTCATATATATATATTAGTCATTTATGGTAATTCCGTAGGTTTCATTTATGGAAAGAAAATAAAATAGTAATTATATCTAGGGGAACAATCATAAATTCTTCTATCATAAATATCATATCATATCATCATATCATATAATTTAACCAACGAATGTATCTAGCGACATATAAAAATTGAATGTGAATCTACTTATTTTTCAATTGAATTTAATTGACTACCTAATTGAGTGACACCTAAGCATGAGGTCTTTTTTAATTATTACAAAATTGAGGTTACAATTTTTTAAATGTTTCTCCTTTAATAATATATAAGGGATTGGTCCGCACAAACATTTCCATTTATGTTTCGATAAGTAAAGATGATATTGGTATACACAAGACTTCATGCTTTGATTGCATAGATAATAGTGTTGCAGTCGAAGAGATGTTGTGCCTTCACTGATCAACCAGATGACGTTGATATTATTAGGTGCTGTTTGTTTCACCATCTATCATCTCCATCCAGCTAATCCATCTAGATGATTCATCTAGATGGTCCATCCACATTTTTGAGATTGTTTGTTTGTCCATCAAGATGGTCTATCTCGATGGATCATCTAGATGGACTCATGTTTGTTTCTCTGTTTTTCTTCTCCATCTAGATGAGTTTAGTAAAAAAATTACTAAAATACCCTTGTTTTAATTTAGTCATATGTATGATATTAATTTTAAATATATTTTTATAATTTTGACGCAAAAATGAGTTTTTGCGGATTTGGGGGAAAAACGGGTTTTTGTGGTTTTAGTTGGAAAATGTGTGTTTGCGGTTATAGCGCGAAACACGTTTTTGCGATTTTAGCGGAAAAATACGTTTTTGTAGGAAAATGTGTTTTTCGGGAAAACGTGTTTTTGCGATTTTGGCAGAAAAATGTATTTTTACGGTTTTGGCGGGAAAACTAATTTTTCGGTTTTAGAAAAAAAACGCGTTTTGGCGGGAAAACACGTTTTTGATAAAAACACGTTTTGGTGGAAAACGCGTTTTGGCAGGAAAATGCGTTTTTGCGGAAAACGCGTTTTGGCGGGAAAACGCGTTTCGGCGGAAAACGCGTTTTGGCGGGAAAACGCGTTTCGGCGGAAAAACGCGTTTTGGCGGGAAAACGTCTTTTGGCGAGAAAAACGCGTTTTGGCGGGAAAAACGCGTTTTGGCGGGAAAAACGCGTTTTGGCGGGAAAACGCGTTTTGGCGGGAAAACGCTTTTTGGCGGGAAAAACGCGTTTTACGGTTTTTATGAGAAAACACGTTTTTGCGAAAAACGTATTTTTGCGGTTTTGGAAGGAAAACGAGTGTTTGCGGTTTTGGTGGGAAAACGTGTTTTTCGGTTTTTGCGGGAAAATACGTTTTGGCAGAAAACCGGATTTTTGCAGTTTTGCTAGGAAAACATATTTTTTGCGGTTTTGGCGGAAAACGCGTTTTTGCGAAAAAATGCGTTTTGGCGGAAAACGCGTTTTTGTGAAAAAATGCGTTTTGGCGGAAAAACGAGTTTTTGCGGTTTTGGTGGGAAACACATTTTTGCGGTTTTAGCTAGGAAAAAATGTATTTACGGTTTTGGCGGAAAAAATATTTTCGCGGTTTTGGTAGGAAATCCGTTTTTGCGATTTTGGCGAGAAAACACGTTTTTACAATTTTGGCGGAAAAACGTGTTTTTACGGTTTTGGCGGAAAAATGCGGTTTGATCATTCGAGGAAATATGGTTTTTTCATGTAAGTTACAAAATAATAGTATGTTTAGATTTGTAATTTATGAATTATATAAAAGGGTATAATAGACATTATACAATTTTGGAAGAACCATCTCCATCCAGATGGTTCAAATTGGTCCATCCAGATGGACTTCAAAATTAAGCCTAAAATTTCAAAGTCATCCGGATGATCCATCTAGATGAGTTGTACTTTTAGTGTATTAACAAACAAAACTCTCATCTCCATCCAGATGACTCATCTGGATGGTGAAACAAACAGGCCCTTACATTCAAAGCTCATTTGTGTATCCTAGTGACCAACTAACTAATCCTTGAACTCCTCCTTCGCTTAGATCAGACAGAGAAATATTAGAGGCAGTAACCCCAGGTTCAAAACGTATTTGGTACCAAAAATATTGTAAAATCGGAATAACTAAAGATTAATTTCAAACATAATAAAAGATTGGACACTAACCACAAATTGTAATGGAGTTCAATTCAAATAGTGCAATCATGGAAGCAAATGGATAATGTAAAAAGTGAAGTGAAATACTCCGATGATCTGATCATACAAACCATGGGAACAGAGCACCACTCCGTTATTTGCGGAAATACATAATCACAAAAACAAAAAACTGAAAGATACATGGATTTTTACTTTTTGTTTTTGTTTTTGTTTTTCTTTTCATGGTAGCTTGATAGACTCGATAGTTTTGCTACCGGTATGCGGCCTTGCAAAGTAATATTTCATGTAATCCGAATACCTAGTAGGCTTGTACAATGGTTTCTCACCATTCCCTAGCACCTCACGTAACGGTTCGATAACGGAATTATAACCCGGTCCCATATAATACGCAAAAGAAATCCGGCTAAGAAACTGACTTGCCATCACCAAATGTTCCACGCTCTTGTAGCGATCGTTGCTCAAAATCTGTAACATGTCTCCAATGTTAACCACAATGGCTCCCATAACTGGAGGGATATGGAGCCACTTGTCACCGTATCGAGCATAAAGGCTGCCTAATATGTCGTCCTGGAGAAGAAGTGTGAGGGTGTTGATGTCGCAGTGGTGACCGGTTCCTACGGTAAGTTTCGGTTCGGGACACTCGGGATAGTAGTTGACGTTCATCCTCAAAGTTCCCATTAGGCTTTGTTCTTCCACTCTTGCGTTTAGATTGTTCAGTAGTATTTCTAGAATGTTCCTACCTATCGGCTTCATCTTATTGGAATGATTTACAACCTCGTCCCTGCCACAATTAAAGCCTTCATTTATTATTATTATACAAACTTATTTTCTT